GCGTCGTCCGGCTGGGAGATCACGGCGTGCTTCCTGGAGACGGGGGCCTGGGACGTTCCACCCCACGGCAGAGGCTCTCAAGCTTGAGTGTGTGTCAGAATCACCTGCAAGGCTGTCAAGCGGAGACCGCTGGGCCCACAGCCAGCTTCCGACCTGCCAGGTAGGGACTGAGGCTCATCTGTGATGAGCCCCCAGGGGGGCGGGTGCTGCTGGCCCAGGGGCCTGACTTGGAGAATCTCCGCCCTCAGGGAATTAGGGCCTGGTCAAGTAGAGAGGAGGCTGCAGCGTCCAGGACTTGGGCCTTGGGAGCCACAAACGCAACGGCACGTGGTCGATTAGAAAGCGAAGCTGCGTCCTGGTTACGTCGAGTCGGTAGAACAGACGACACGGGACGCAGCACGTGACACCGGCCTGGTAAACAGTTACCGCTCGACTCCGGTGAGCTGAGTGCGAGTGTAGGACAGCGGCCCGAAGGAGCCCGCGGCCTGCTCTTGTCCACCTTGTCACTGTCCCCGCTCACCACGTCCGCCCTGCTCCCTGAGCCGAGCAGCCCGAGGCCCGACCGACTCCACCGGGTGCAAAACGAGCCCCTCCCTCCTCTACACGGCGAGGAATTTACAATCCCTTCGGTGAGCCAGAGCGAGGCTGGGAGTTTTCAAAAGGAATTCTAAAAAGAAAATAAAAGCATAAAAGTAAAGAAACGGGCATTCGCAGGCACACAATTCTCACTTCGTCTAAACAGAAAGTAACCCAGAACGAAGGGCAGCGGGCTGACGGTTTCGCGATGGTGCGTGAGGTGTTTTGAGTTGACTCGGGACATGTTAGGGTCCCAGCCCGTCCCTCAGAGTGACCTTGTTAGGAAATAGGGTCTTTATGTCAACAATCAAGTTAAAGCGAGGCCATTAGTGTGGGCCCTGAGCCAAAGTGACCGATGTCCTGCTTTTACGCAGAGGAACAGAGTTAGGGAAGGGGACAAGCATTTCAACACAGACAGCGTGTATGGGCCAGAAAACGGACCTCGCACTTACCGGGAAATCCCCAGAAGTCCTTAATTTTGGCTTTTTCTTTCTTTAGCCACCTACTCTCCCTTCTCCGTCACCTTCCGCCCGAAAGAGGAGTCAGCGTGTTGCCACTGCTCCAGGCTAAACAGCTGCCCGGCGGGCTGGCCCCCTGCCTGCCAGAGGGGAGGGACAGTCCCCTGCTGGTGGCGGTCGTGGTGGCAGAGGAAGGGGTGGGACAGAAGGGGTGACAAAGTCCGAGCCGCGCGGGTGCTGGGGGGCCAGGGCGGCCGGGGGTGGTTGGCTTTTTCTTTCTTTAGCCACCTACTCTCCCTTCTCCGTCACCTTCCGCCCGAAAGAGGAGTCAGCGTGTTGCCACTGCTCCAGGCTAAACAGTGGGGGGCCCGTGACCCGCCTCTCGGCTCGCTCTCCACCCTTTCTTGCTGGAAGGGAGCACATGTGTCTACCGGAAATTGAACGTGACATCTTCCCTCTGGAGAGGGTGCCCTGATCACCCCACGCGGAGGACAGCCGGGTGCTCCTCACCGGTCAGCACCCACCAGGGGCTCGGCCGACCCCTCCGCATCTGGGGTAATTTTGATTATTTGAGGTAAATTGAGGGTTCTCCAGGGTTTCATTGACCTGATGCCTCAGCCCCCGGTCAGGAGGACACACTCCAGTCACAGCAAGGGGACCGCTGTACGTGTCGGATCCCGAGTGACATATCCATCGCCAGGAAGTGCCCCAGCGACTGCGGTGCTGTCAAAATGCAGCCCACCTCTGGAGCAGCTACACGTCAGCAGAAGGCACTTGGTAAACCGGCTAGCTGCCCCCTCGTCTCTAGGCTGAAAGGAAACATTCAAATGTGACTCAAGAAAAATATCCCCAGATCCTTGCGTTTGAGGTAATAGGAGGCAAATGTTCTAGTGGTTAAGCCTGGGGCTCTTCGAAGTGATTTACATGTTATCAGTGCATTTCCTTTCCTGAAATTGAGTGGTTGATTGACGATGACCTCAGGGGACGTAGCACAGGTGTGAGCCTGAAATCACCTCATCCTAGGCCTGCTGGCCTTACCTGGGGGTTCGTCCTTGACGCCCTGTGGTATCGGGGTGACGTGTGAGTCTGGGTGGACTTCCAGGTACCTCAGCAGAGTTCCAGACTTACGTTCGTTTCCTGAGTCTAGCAGAGTCAGCACGTAAGCTCCCCAGGGTGGCAGTCCCACAGTCCCACGGGCGCAGACTGTCCCGCAGGCTCCCCCCCAATCAAAGCTGCCCATGGCTCAGCACCTGCTTCCTGTTGGCACCTCATCTCATCTTTGTCTCCCGAGCACGTAGACTGGTCTGACAGTTTAACGAGCAATGATTATGCAGCCAGCTTCGTGATAAGCATCGCGCATACATTATTTCATCTCGCAGTCTGTTAGTTGTAAGAACACCTCCTGCGTGAGCGACGCGTTATCCTAACTTTACAGATGCCAAAACCGTAAGGCACCGACAAGCGGTCACAGAGCTAGTGATGACTCAGGATCTGCACCCAGATAGGAGGGAACGACAGACAACCCAGTCCCTGCCCCCAACGCTTCTATCGGGGCCGCCACATATGGAAGTGGCCACTACAATCCAACGTGGACAGTCCTGTGAGCGAGCGCACGAGATGTGACGGGCCAGCAACTAAACCCAGTCTGGCTGGAGGTCAGGAAGCCGCGTCCCATCCTGAGGGCTGAGGGCATCGCCTCGACACTGTCACCATGAGGTTAATGGGCCATCTGATTTCCCGGGAAAGACACGTGCTCATGCGTTGTTTTATTAGTCGAAGAGAATTAGAGATACCAGCTTATAATTCTCAGTGCTTTGACTAAGATTTTTAGTCAGCTTGGGAAATTTTTTCATATGATAACTTTTAAGCTAAGTACTCTCCGAAGACCCTTTGGGGACATTGGCGGAAGTCCCTGCTCTCGACTCGCAGAGAGGAATACCCTCCCACCCCTACATCTCTGCAGGTGCCTCTGACACCTGGTCTGACACGGGACCTACAACGTGCAGTGGCCAGAGCATGTCAATCATAGCTCATGAGGACAAAAACACAAACGAGCAAATAAGAAGCCCCCACAAACTCGTGAAAATACAACTGAAACATACAAATAGTGAGATACGTTAAAATATCCGTAGGAGGCAGAACTAGTCTGGGAAATATGTGTCATAACCCACATGTTCACCTCGACCCTGGGAGCGGCCAGGGGGACAGCAATGGCGGAGAAAAGGTTGGGCCTCGTCAGCACCGCTTCGGGAGAATTCTCCCAGGACCAGGGAGAGTTCTAAGTCCACCTTTCTCAGGAACTGAATTTAAATTGTTCTGGGATGTTAAGCCAGGCTTCAATTGTGCCGTGACTTCTCATGAAAATTTAGGACCTGTGGCAAAGGTGACAAGGATCGTTGAAGGCCCTGACCATGCTGACAAGCGCTGGCCAGGCCGGGCTCCAGACACGTGACACGGAACTTCCTGTGAACCCTCAAGCCCATACCTGCCGGGAGCTCTGGGGCCCAAGTTACGGAGGAGAAAACTGAGGCCGAGAGGAAGCGTCTTCCCCACACGGAGCAGCTCACGGGCGGCCGAGCGCGTCACCCAGGCACGCCAGACTCCAGAGCAAGTTCCCCTGAGGTCAATGAGCCGGCCAAGGCCGTGCCACACCGAGGACCCCTGTGAGCTAAAGGGCACCTCGTTTTCTGGACTCTGCAGGCCACCTGGATCGTGCTCCTTAAAGTGAGGCAGCTGCAGACCGTGGCCCAAAGTGAACACAGCTGGAGGGAGCCCCCCCGCAGGAGTCCCACCTGCAGGTGGCAGCTGTAATTCCTTCTGTATAAAGGGAACGTCAGGGAGCTCAGGGGCCTGGCTCGGGGAGGGAGGTAGCGCCATGTGGCTGCTGTGGTCCACGCTGCTCTGTTTTCCGCTGTCTCTGGCCGTGAGGGGCCTCAGGGAGCCCGAGGTGCCGGAAGGTCCTGGAACTCTGCACTGCGGGCCACGGAGCTTTCGGCTCACAGTGTACCCTTCCCGCCAGGGGACAGCGACTGCTCCCACACTCGTGGCCTGGGGTAAGGGTGACGACTCGCCTGGCTTAGCCGGGCAATGGGCCATCTCCTCAGCTGCCTGAAACCCCCTCCAGCTCCCTGTCCTAACACTGTCCGCATTAGTAAACTCCGCAGCTTCTTTGTAGTGTTATCGCTTCACTCTGAATCGGGGTCCCCTCTGGTCCCCCTCTCTCCTCGGAGGCTGCTCTTGGGGTCTCGAGGCCACGCTGGCTGTGGTTTCCCTGCATGGTCACCGTGGTGGCTGACCCCCTGTGCTTTCTGCCCCTCCCCCCAGACAACCGTGGGCTGCTGCACAGGCTGCAGAATGACTCTGGCTGTGGCACCCAGGTGACCGAGGGCCCAGGCAGCACTGTGGTGTTGGAGGTGTCCTACGACGGCTGCTATGTCACCGAGTGGGTGAGTGTGACCAGCCAACGGGAGCCCTGAGCGGCCGAGCCCCAGCCCGGCTGACCCCGGCCCGTCTCTGCAGGCCTCCCACTACGTCCTGCCAGTCGGGGTGGAGGCAGCAGAGGGCGCCGGGCGCAGGATGGTTACGAAGACAAAGCTGCTCAAGTGCCCCGTGGGGCTCCGGGGTGAGGCTGTGCGGGCGGAGCCTGCGGGCTCCGGGGCCTCTCCTATGGGCTCCGTGCGGTGGCGCCGGACGCGTGCTTGGGACGACCTCCACCTGCGAGGTCACTCAGCGGGGTCCCTGTGACGGGGCTTTGCCTGCGCCCCCCGAATCCTGACCCAGCGCTGGGAGCACCGCTGCCGAGGGCCCCAGGGGGCGGGGGCGGAGCTGGGGCGCAAACGAGCATTGGCCCAGGAGCCCCTGGGTCTTGGGGTCCGGAGGGGACACTGCGCTGTCCGGGGGACTCAGCGAAGCCTGCGAGAGAGGAATGCGCTGGAACGGGGCTCCGCCGCCAGGGGGCGCGAGTTACGCCCCCCGCTGGGGAATGGGCAGGGCGCGTGGCCCCTGTTCAGCCTCGGCAGGTCGCCCCCCATCCCCCCAT